TAAAGGATGGAGATTCTCCTTAGCCCTTCTTTTGTTGCTAATATATTTACAGAAACATTTTTTATTGTTCTTTACAGTAGCAGCCAGGTTAAGTTTTAATTGGGCCCTGGCCCTTCTAATTTTCTCCCTGCATAACCTCACAACATCCTTGTAGGCCTCCTGAGTTACTTGCACCTAGGGACAAATGTTCCTACCACACAGGGCTACCCCAAGGCCTCGCCTTCCTTGCCTATCCCTTCTAAAGGGTTTATAGCCATCTGTTGCAGCACTCTAGCTATATGAGTTATCCCACCATGTTTCAGTGATGGAACTATGTCATTAGTTTTCCTGCTGCACAATGGCTTCCAGCTCCTCCTGTTGCCCCTGCTGTGTGCTCATGTAGATGCACTTCGGTTAGGCTATTGATCCCACCACCTTTTTTGGGGGGAGAAGCCCTAGTTCCTGTGTGATGTCTCGGTAAAACAGTAGGTTCTGAAGCAGTTTCTAAAGCTTAAAAAGCTTATTCTTTACACTGAATATTTAGACAGTCTTCCAAGTACACACTGCCAACCAAAGTCATTTCCCAGTTTTAGACAACCCTATTGTAGAAGTGCTGTCAGGTCAAGGGGATTCATCTTCACTGTCCTTCAAATGGATAATAACCACAAAGCACCCACATTTCCACACTTTTAGTCACATACATTGTCTTGTCAGCATACACAGTCTTCTCAGCTCTCAAACTGCATATATTACAGGGCCCATCCATTATCTCAAAATCTAGTTCATGGATCCACTTCATTTCTCTGCTTCCCAACTCAACTCCTATCTCAGAAAAAGACAGAAAGTGTAATACCCGCTCGCCTAACACCTAATGACTTGCTCCCTGTCACACAGAAACTTGCCAGAGGGGCTTGATGGAGAACTGCAGCCACACTGTTATTTCCCTAAACACTCATTCCAAAAACATAACTCTCCCTGGACATATACCCATGTATAGTCACAAAAATGGACGTATAACTCAGCCCCTCTGGCACATGCATATTGTTTTAAGATGAGTAACGAATGACTCCTACTCATCTGTTTTTGACTAATAGTCCTGTACTATTATCCATCGAGCCAGAATTTTTACTGCCTCTTTAAAGACAAATGGCAGAGAAAAGGTAAAAAATCTCAGCCCTATTGAAGCTGATGGGAAAACACCTACCGATTTAAGTGGCACCAGAATTTCTGGTTGAGGCTGCACCTTTCAGCATCAATGACACAACCAAAAGCACAGAGACAGGAGCTCAGGAGCTGATGCCATAAATCATTAGTAGTCCAGTGAACCCTCCTTGCTTTAATGCTTTCTAATGGTGCAGCAGATGAATTAGGTGGCAGCATGTATAGCTGAGATGGTCTGACATTTGTTTTTAAAAAAGAAAATGCAGTAAAAATGTCTTTGTAAGAGTTTAACCATTTAGGATAAAAAAATTAAAAGAATTCCAGGAAAAACAGGTGGAAAACAAGAAGGAAACTTGAGGAAAAGTTATTTTCTCTGTCTTCAAAGACCCACTGTGGTGAAATACCCTGCAGCCTCCATGCTCTGGGGCTGCTAACTGAGGTGAGGTCAGCGTAAGTCACTTTGGACTGGAGACATGCCCTCCCCACCATGCCAGTGAATATGCATCAAAACCTGGCCAAAGCTGGCCATGGTCACACTTGAGCTAACTGAGCAAGCAGAAAGCAAAATGTGGCTGGGAAAGATAAGCTGCATGTGGACGATGGGAAGTGGTAGGTGGGGGTGAGGGTCTCCAGTGCCTCGCTCTTCACACTGGTGGCACAGCCCAGGACCACATTGTGTGTTAGGCCTGGACAAGCCCCCGTACCTCCATCTGGGTGGACAACAGGGCTATAATGTCAGATGTCTCCTTTGAGGTAAAAAACTAACCAAAACCTGAAAGCGTGCAACCCTGAAATCCAGCACTGAGGGGAACAATGTTAACCTCAGAAGCAAATGAAATTTTCGGCATCACCCGATTTGGAGCATATGATCATGTCACCTTATTATTTTAATACAGTGCTTTTTTAAGACCTGCTGGAATGACAGAGGGTTTCCCCCCCTCCTAAGAGGTAGCATCTCAGTGTCCCATCCAAACCAAACCAATATATGAAGAGCAATGTACAGCCCACACAGAAATATGGTGAGAGAAGCTCGGTTGACTGTAGCTCTTGGGGTTGGGAAGGGAAGAAAGAGAAGGCAGAGTCAAGAAGTGAGCATTAACTGAGCATAAGACAGCAGACAACTGAGCAATTAGAGTGACTTTGGTTTGTATTTTCATGCAGTTTTTTTAGAGTTGCAACCCAAATTCAGAAAGACTTAATTGCTTGCAAAAGGGGGTACAGTGATGTAAATTCCTGAACTTGCATGAATGAGCTGCCTCATCCAAATGGCAAATGCTTTTGTCTTAAAAGGCCTGACTTTGCTCAGCACAGCTACGATGGTCAGTCTTTTCTCACCTGCATTTCTAATAGTCGGCCCTGAAATTCCCTTTCCAAAACACATGGCTTCAGCCATGTCATGTTTTGCTTCTGTCATCCCCCACTGCCGTTTTGTTACAAAGAGTAAAAAAGGAAACATCCCAAAAACTCTTTCATTTCTTGGCATAACCCAAAGGAGGCCATGTTGCACTTTTTCCATGGCTTTGTCTCACAAGTCACTTTATAGACAACAGCAGATTAATTATAACCACGGGTTTAGCAAATCCCCATGACAAGACATCCTTATTGTGGTTGAGACAGCGTGCACTGGAATGATAGAGAGGAAATCTGCTTCTTTCCCACATGCAAGTCTCTTGGTGGGCTTGTTACAACTGCAAACCAGCACGGCTGCTCTCCCTGAGCGAGGGCCTGCGTCTGACTTTGCAGGCTGCAAGGTCGTTCGTGGCAAGGGCTTGGGTGCCTGAGATGAGAAGGAAGGAGAGGGGGTGACTTTGCTTTATTTGGAGTTCATTCAAGTGATCAACATTTTGGATGCTTTGTTAAAGAGAGATCATGAGAATCAGAGCAGAAGCAGAAACGAGAAAAATAAAAAGACGTAATTCAATCAATGATATCTATCAAGACACCTATCCACAACAGCATTATTTCGATGTTCATCTTTATCGAGAGATGGACTGAAACACTGAGCTCTCTCCTTCCCATGTTCCCAAACCCACTTCTGCTAGTTAAAAATTTACTGACTTAAATTATAGGACAAACACCCTCAGAAATCATACATAAATCTGCATAAGACGTTAAGATTTCTTTCAAAGCAAGTCCTGAGGGCAGTGCCCTCTTATGCTCAGGGTTAAGGAGGGAGGCAATGCTCACATGCTGCATTCACTGCTATGATTTATCATTCATTCTTTGCTGTCTGCATTTCCCTGACTTGCTGAGAGCATCGTCACCAGCGTCAGTTCTTCAGCCTGTGCCTGGGCTGGGAGGGAAGGCTGCCTACAGACCTTGTCCCACAAGCACACATCTTTTCCAGGGGCTATTTTGCCAACCCTTGCCTCCTAGGTCAAATAGTGCCAAATTTGTGAAGACAGAGGAACACAAAACTAGAGCTATATGTGAATGGTGACCACTCAGCACCAGACAGGATCTCTCTGGCCATACATACAGACAACTGGTCTGTTCCATGCACTGAACTAGGCAGGGGAAAAAAAAAGTCATCATACGATTAAAGACTGTGCCAAAAAACAGATTTGCAGAAGAAAACTTTATTTTTGGCATTTCCTAGTTTTCTGTGTGTTTGGCTTTGAAATATTAATAAATTTTTAACACAGGTTTTGGTATTTGGTATTTACTGTATCTACTTACATGAAAAAATAAGCACCCCCTGCATAAATGGAACATAAATGTTGCAGCACCAAAATCCCAAAATAATAGATTGAAAGCATCTTTAATCCTAACTTTTTGAAAACGTTCTTTTCTTTTTAATGGAAACCTTTATTAGGCCTATCCCTTTCTGGCTTGGCCTGCTTCAAAATTGTGCTGAAGTATTGAAATTCAGCAATTAAAACTGAGAAAAAAGGGAAAAAAGCCTCTCATACTTTTGGTTGCCAAATTCACTAAGGAAAAACATTTCACAAGAATGTATATCATTACTCTGTTGTCACAATGCACTTTGAAGTGTTTGGGTAAGGTTAGGGCTGTATTGGTCATTCTGGAGTGGAATATTCTTACATACTCTGTTTCAAAGCAGTTTCTATTTTTTAATGAAAACATTGGTATGTATATAAAATTTGTGTTTTTATTGAATGTTATGGCTGACATGAAATTAGTTGCTTTTGGAATTCTACCCTCTGAAATACTTCTTTTATGCTTTTGTTCCTTCATTGGTTTTTAAGTTCCATGTGAGAAAAGCAAAATTTTTGTATCTGGAGTCTTTCTGAAAAGAGGAATTTCCATCTTCTCCCATCTCCAGTCAGCCCCTCCCTCTCGTGCAGGAATTCAAAACTGTTTCCATTTAGTGATTGTTTCACTCGGAGCTTGGCAGGTCCCAGCCCCAGGCCAAGACCACCAAAGGGAGGATCTTCCTTCCAGCCAGGTCAAGGCTGAGGTCCTCTACCAGATCACGTGTGAGAAACTTACTTTGCTGTTGCTTTTTTGGGGTTTAAGAAAACCAACAAAAAGGATTATTGTGGTTGTAAAGACTTTCATCAGTACTAAATTCAAAGGGAGTTTATTAGTTCATTGTATAATCTGTGTAAAGTGTCCAAAGAAGCTTAATTCCTCTCTTTGCTCCCCCGAGCAAACTGACAAAACAAACTGGCAGCTTTCGTCTTTGGTTTTGAAACAATGCTTTCCACTGAAGCTTTGAAAAGAAGCTTTAAAAAGAAATCTAATCCTGCATAGTTTCCTCCTTTCTTAGCTGTTAGAAAAGCTTATTTTAACACATACGGCCTATTTGACGTGTCCTTTAAAAGGGTAATGTTCCTTTAGCATAGCATGAAGAAAAGCTCCAGCAAGCAGCATGCTTTTGTGTTTTCTTTTTTTACCTTTCCACATGGTCAACGTTGCCTGCCACACCGACCCCTCCAATGGTATAAATTTTCCCATCGTACACCAGACTGTTATGCCGACACCTTGGGACTGTCATGCGGGACACGAGGTTCCAGTTATCGAGCAAGGACATGTAACACCAGACATCAGCGAGCGTGACACCCGACTCCATGCCGCCTGGCACCGACATGTGGGTGAGGGAAAGAAAAGGGGAGAATTATGTGAGATCCTGGAATGGCAGCAGCTTTGCACACAGCAATCAAAGCCAGTCACAAAGTAAAAACTCTTCAAATGACATTTGACTAATTAAAATAAATCACCCTCAATGGTGAGCATCTGTTCCGATGATGCATATCTGTGTCATTTATTCATGCGCCCCAAAGGCTGGGCTTAGTTGATGTTTTTTTTTAATAAGATGACATGAAGAAATCAAGATGTCAGACTGAGAGGGACATGTGCATAAGGGGATAGACCCTTTGCAGTGTTCATAAATAACTTCCAGTCTATTAAATTACTGCAACACTTGCAAGAAGGTGTCAGGAGGCAGAACCTATCTTGGCTTGCGAGACACAGGCCAGTCTGAAATCTAAAATGCTTAACACAGTGATGGATTGAAGCAACACATACATGGGCAGAATAAAGTCGGTGCTTGTACTGCAGGCTTAATGTCTAATTTTCAGAGACAATTTTTTAATTTATTTTCATTAACTGATAAAGGAAAGAACCAGATGTACCACTCTGGTGGTGAAACAGTTCAGGATGCTCCAGTGAAATACTCATACTGGTCATTTTTAATTTCTGACTGCAGCTTCCAAGGTAACCACTTAGTGGGTGTCTTTCTATTCCCATTTTGAAGCACGAAGAGGTGAAATGATTCATTTCAGACCACACTAGGAGTCAGTGGTCAAGCCAGAAAAAGCAACTAGACTCAGTTCTGTGGTTTAATGAGAAAATCAGGCTTCCTCACTCTCCAAACCTATCGTATGCAGTGTGGGAACCAGTACTTGGAGCTGGCAGGGGTTCATTCCCACTTCTGTTGGTTCCCCTTCCCTTTTTCCTGTGTCTTGTAAATTTGAGCAAAGCAAAATATCAACCGACACTCAGCTAGGTTTCCAGCCATGCAGGACTTCCAGCTCTCCCACTGTAGCCAGCAAGTACTATCAGGTTGCTCATCCAGATTCAAAGGAAACAGCTAAAACAAGCTTCAAATTTAGGATTCAACAGCTTTTGTTAGCAGGTATGGCACAGCCTAAAATGGCTCTACATATTGGAAAGTAACTCAGCTAAGAATAACTAAACATCAACCTCTCACAAAAGCTTCCATAGAAAGCTTTCACTCCAGTGGCAAAACGAGCGTGGGCAAAAAAACCATGTCAAGAAATAAGTCCCCATAAATCCTTAGGGCCTCTATGCAGCATTGATGGAATTTAACACCACAGGCAGCAATTTACTGCAGAAAATGCAGTGAGGGAACTCGGCAAGGGAAAGGCAACAGCTGTAACCCCTTACTGGTACTGCCTCCTGCATCTGTGCTCCCAACTACATCTCTGGATCACACACATCTGCACCTCCCTGCCCAGCCTCCTCTTCTATCATAAGACCTTCCCTCAGCTGCCATCAGAGCATCCTTGCATCAGCTGGTGGGAATTGCTTTTCTCCCTCCAGCCAAGCAGAGGTACCACCAGACTGCAAAAACCCAGACACCATGATGCTACAGGAGCAGCATAGGCAGCTACTTGGGGAGTTAAAGCCTTTTAAGAAGCATGGTCTCAGTTTCACGGAAACTAAGAAGATTACAGGGCTAGTGACTACTGTCAAAAGAGAGGTCTCAACAACAAGTGCAAAACGTGAATGCTTCTTTAAGCAAATACTGTTAAGTGTAGGTCACATATTCAGCAGTTCAGCCTGTCTGTCTCAAATTCCACAACCCACCATTTAGACTCAACTACAGACAGTATTTTAAATTGTGTTTCTATGGCAGTGAAACCTCTTTGCATGCTTGATGGTTGTCAGACCTATTTTCTTCATGTTGCAACTGCAAAATATTGCTGTTGACTGCTCTGAGACAACACTAATGCCGCAGTGAAATGGAGAATGATAAAAGCAGGGAAATCCCTCTCTCCCAACCTCCCTTCCACTTGTTTTCCTCCCCCCCTGCCCCCAGGAGCAGCTGGGTACAACTCTGGCATGTACTCTGCTCTCGTGAGACCCCAGCTGGAGAGGTGCATCCAGCTCTGAGGCCCCAAGAGAAGAACATGGAGATGTTGGAGAGAGTCCAGATGAGGCCACAAAGATGCTCAGAGGGCTGGAGCACCTCTGCTATGGAGACAGGCTGAGAGAGTTGGGGTTGTTCAGCCTGGAGAAGAGAAGGCTCCAGGGAAACTTTATTGTGACCTGTCAGTACTAGAAGGGGCTTATAAAGCCTGTAATGAAAGGACAAGAGGTAACAGTTTTAAACTGAAAGAGCGGAGATTTAGACTGGACATAAGGAAGAAATTTATTACAATGAGGGTGACAAGACACTGGCACAGGTTGCCCAGAGAAGCTGTGGCTGCCCCATCCCTGGCAGTGTTCAAGGCCAGGCTGGACAGGGCTTGGAGCAACCTCGTCTAGTGGAAGGTGTCCCTGCCCATGGCAGGGGGTTGGAACTAGATGAGCTTTGAGGTTCCTTCCAAACCAAACTGTTCTGTGATTCTGTTTCTATGAAATCTGCTGCTTACCTGAGAGATAGATGTTGTCCCCAGCGCTGACCACACTGAAAAACTCTCGATCGTAGAAGGGCAGGCTGGCCAATGGGTACCACTTGTTGTTTTGAGGATTTAAGCAAGTGACCGCTGTTAAAGCACGCTGATTCATGCCAATCATCTGACGACCCCCAACTAAGACTATTACCTCGGCTACACCTAGGATTCAAGTAAGAAAGAAAAAAAATAAAAAGTGTCATCTCTAAACGAGGCAGGAGTTTATAAAAAATACTCGTCAGTCAGGGTAATTTTAATGTTTCATATGTAAGTCTGGTTTAGACCGTGCAGCGAAATAAAGAAGGGTGAGAAAAAAGGGAGTGTGTTTGTGGGGGAGAGGGGTGGGTGAGGAATGACACTAGGAACATGCTTGGAAGAACTTGGGAGGGAGTGTGCCATCTGGGCAAAATTTAAGGGAGTTCCATGTAAATATGTCCTTTGACTTAAACAGTCTTTGAGTGAGGCAGCAAATTCCTGTTCCACTGAAGAAAACAGGAATTTTGTCAAGGATTGTGGTAGCTTGGCAGCTTGATCATTATCCAGGGAAAGCATGCCTGCACTTTAACCTGGTAAAGGTGTTCTTACACTGAAAGATAGTGTCTGGAGGAGGGTTAAGCTATGGTTATGGTTCTTCTTCCTGATCTTCTTTCTTTATGTACTCTATTAACACATAATTTTCTGGTGCTGGGTTTTTTTTTTTCCCTCTGTTTTCCCAGATGTAGCCAATATGTGCTCAAGCCACAGACCAGGTTCTTAGTGTACTAGGTGCTAGTAAATGTGACAGAGATAGCCCCTGTCCTAATATAGTTACTAACTGAGAACAGCTTGGAACAGCTCCCCCAGCTCATCCCCTAACACACAGGCTGTGTAGCAAGTCAAATTCACTGGACAAAACTTTTGCAATCCACGTCTCAGAGTTTTTATTCCCACTTAAAAGCCAGAGCTGAGTCAAGTCTCATGTGAATGTTACTCCAGACTCATCCCCACAGTGACGGTCACAGTTTAACTCTGGGACATTTTGTGGCTCCAACACCAACAGCAAAGTTCTGTGTGTTAGTTTGGATTTAGAATGCAGCAGAAGTGTTAAAAATCTTTCTGCAGTGATTGTAAGCCCCAGTGCAACTTGTTGCCTGGAGAGGTAGGCTCAGAAGCAGGACCATAAGGCCAGCAGTTTGAAGGAACAACCATTTTGGGAACTGTGCTCACGGCTGGACCCACTGCTGTGGTGTGTTACAGTGCTCAGCCTAGAGACAAGTGTGCACAGGCTGGGAGGGTCAGAAGCATGAAGTGAGATTGCCAGCAAGAGAGATGAGGAGCTGCAGTGGAGAGAAATGCATCTACAGAGTAATGGATTATCGTCATTCTTCATTAGCGTTTTCACAAAATATATTTGTGTCATTCAAGCAAGGTTACTCTCTTAAAAGTTATTAAGTTAAAGTGCTGTACAGTTTTAAATAAATATTTCTCAGTAACAAGAGATCATTATTTTTGTGCCATACTAGAAAATCTAATCACCTGTGCAAGACATAACTTGATTATAATCAATGACCTCGAGAGGGCATGTGACATGCTGCAGTGAGTCCACAAAGGGTGTTTAGAGATCCTTTGTGCCTACATGAATGCTGTTGATATGCAAAATAACATGATTCTATATAATTAGACTCTGACCTAAAAAACTATAATCACCCTCTCTTACCCCGAGAGAATCACTTTTCCCTCATCAACCAGCTTCTGGAAATGGATCATATTACACCTTCAATTTTATATACATAAAATAAGCACTTTTCAAAATCCCTTCAAACATCACACCATTAGTCGTTGTCTTCAGTGAAAGACTTTTTAGGGTAGATTGTTATTGAAAGTCCTCTACACTTCATCCTTCTGAAAGGTGCCTTGATGAGGCAGTCTCCAGAAGCCGCAAATGCTGTGATTTGATATGCCATCTCCATGCCACATTAGCATCAGTGGCAGCGACAGAAAGTTTTGCCTGGCTTTCTGATTGTACATATGGGAGCCAGAAGTACTGGCAGAATGTTAAAACAATTCACCTGTTCCATCTGACTCCTTCTCGTATGTAGCTTTCCTATATGATATTTGCACCACTCTCTGTTCAGCAAATATTTTACATAGGGCTATGAAAGTGAAGCTGTTTTATGAATATTAGTCAGATCCTCCCAACAAGAGGCTGAATGGCAAGGAAGCAAACTGTACACCTATTTTTTGCAGCTAGAGAAACTGAGACACAGAGGGTTCACTTTCAGGACAACAGTAGAATGTCATGGTCTCTACCAAAGGTATTAACTCCTAGAAATTAGGCTCCTTTTAAATCTTGTTTCAGGACTGTACATCTAAACACTCACATCTGACCACTGGGAAAGGCTCCTAAATGCTCCAGCATTAGTAGAAATGGAAACTCGAACTTGAAATATCACCAGGCTCTGAGCAGGAGACAAGGAAAAGAGCCACACTCTGTGCCCTATGCCAGGGCATGTCCTACCCATGCGCAGGAGCCATCGTACCAGGGAGCTGGTGTCATTGAGAAAGTTTTGCTTTACCTGCAGAGAGCCTGGGCCGGGTCCTTGGTGTCTGCATCTCTTGTCGGGCATGCGGCAGCATGTGGTAACGTTTGGCTTCATTCACTAGATCTCGGCAAGCCTCTGAAGACTTTATCAACTCTTCGTTGTCAACAACATTTAGCAGATAGCTGGGATGGATGAAGGGGAGGCGCACCACTGCCAGCAACTCTGCAGCATACTGTGAGGGGGGAAAAATAACAACACACTACAGCCTTCGTGCCACAGTTCAGCCGCTCAGCATCTCCGCCTCCTTCCCTGAAAACCGGCCCCTGTCACCCAGCCTGGAAAGACACTTGTCATGGATGCTGCACACAAACTCTGCCTAGAGATCGGGTGGAACGGAGACAACTCAGCCCTCAGCGTTCCCTGACCCGGGCTGGTTTTGGTCCCAGGAGACTGAAAATAACATTCAAAAGTTGGCAACTCTTGTTATATGGCACCATATGGAGGCATTTTTGAAATAAAAGCCCATTCTCGACTCAGGTTGAATATAGCACCTTGTGCACTGGAGACACAGAGTAAGCTTCCGAGTTTTCCAAATTAACCTTGAAATGTGAGTGTGGTTGTTGCACTGTAAAAAAAACAACACCCAAACAAGTCTTTTCTGGCATTATAAATGTGAAACAAATGCCGGTAAATAGCGTGGATTTCAACAACTGCTGTGGCAGAGACTGAATAGTTATCAGCCAATTTGCTGAAAATCTTTTAATTAATACGGTTTATTTGTTGGTGAAACAAATCATGTAGTTCTAGCTTTTGGGGAAGTCAGACTCCAGAGGGTGCTATACAAATACTGACAGTAAGTTTCATCTTCTAAATAAATACATTAAACCTCAGAGGGCAAAGGACACCCAAGCAATGAAGTTGTCTGTCACTGAACACAGCTTAAAGGAGAACAAAACCCCAAGAGAGAAAACTGCAATCGAAAAACTAAGAGCCCATCTCCAGATTCTTCTTTTTATATGTAATTGGTTATATCACAACACAGCACAAGAGCACAGTAATAGGAAAACACAGTTCTTGAAAAGCAATGCACACAAACAGGATGCAAACTAAGGGGGCGCAGCAAGAGAAGATAATCATCTGTTGTAATAAATATTCATGTAGAGGCAGCATCCAAATATCCCAACTGGGATTGAGGCCAGGATGCAAATAAATATTCCTGAGGTCCATGCGACTGGTCCCGAGGAACGCTGGGCGCCAGCAGCATCTGCTGGCCTGCAGATGCCTCCAGTCTTCCAGAAGCTACTTGGCGCTTGCTTTCTTTTTCAGCAGTTGTGCCTGTCCCTGCAGTGTGTGAGAGCCAAGTCACAGCAGGAGCAGGGATGGGAATGGGGCGGGGGCACAGTGAGATGGGAGGGCAGGGATGCAGCCTGAGCCACCTAATGGGCTGGCCAGGCAGGTGAGGATGCAGGGACAGCTGGGACCACTCCCAGGGCTTCCCCCCTTCCTCACCCCAGCTAAAGAAGCAGGCTGCATTTAGGAGGAAGACAGAGGATTTCTCCTCCTAACAGCAATTCACACTCCTCTCCTGCTGGAGAGCCACGTCAGCCTGGTGTGAGCTCAGTCAAAGTGAGGATGTAACTATCTGCAGGGAGCTGAACTCCATGTGTGCCTGCAGGGTCATGGCAGCAGGGAGATGACTAGGCTCTCCTGCTCACTAGCCCTCCTGGCACTAGGACTGGCAATTTTAGATACAGCCTGTAGCGCTGAGGCCTGGCCACCCTGCAGTTGTTTGCAGACAAAAATGTTGTTCGGACGACGCAAAAGAGATGGGAAAACGTCAGTGCTCCTCTTCTGAAACAAACCCAATCAACCCATGCGAGCACAGGGGCCGTGGCTCCTTGCTATTACCTCTGGCATGGCACAGGGACGACTAGGCATGAGATCACTTCATCAGCCTCCAAACCTGGAAAGACACTCCTCTCTTTTCACTTGCTGAAATCCATTCCTAACCTGCTTTCTAGGAGGTAAAATGGCTGTTTCCCTTCCCCAGAGTCACAAATGTCAGGCACTTGGCTGCAGATACCTTAATGTCATTACATGGTACTTTGTAGGAGAGGGAGCAGTGGACATACGGCAGTGGGTGGCAAAGCTCTGATTTCAGGAAGTGCTTTTTTAAAGAAGGTTGGAGGCGTTTAACCTTACATGGGAGCCAAGACAAAATGTGGCACCAGAACATGGGAATAATGCGGATAGTGAGTGTACAGGGGAAAAGCCAGACAACCCCCACGGGCGAGGTTAATCCCCACTACAGGCTGCTAAGGAAGCAGTATGAGTTGCTAAAGGGCAGTTTAAATAAAGTTGTAAAATATATGGAAGTGTATAGCATTGCCAGCACTTCCCCTTGGTGCAGTGGGGCACGACAGAGCTGCTCCTGATGCTCCTGAGGCAGGTCTGCGCTGGAAGAAGCTGTAACACAAAGCAGCGCAACACGCAGGTGCTAACAGTTGTGCCACTGAATCAGGGTTTTGACAGGCACCACAATATCGCAAATTCAGGTGAAGTAGAGGAGGAGAACTCCCCTCAAGCACGAATGGACAGTTCACAGAGTGTCACAGAGGTCCAGCGGAGAGACTGTCCCCATCTCCCACCTTTGCCAGAATAAATGGGGCAGCACTGCTGCCTGAGCACGGCAAACTCTCCCTCTCACTCGCCCACCTTGCTTTAATTAGATAAGTGAGAAAATGTGATTCTGTTTCTCCCCTGCATCACACCCTCCCCCCCCCAGCTTCCGCCTTTGTCTCCTCTTTTGTCTGAGCTCATGGCTTATTTTGAAGGGGAATAATAATTAGAACATGTTGCTCCCTTTCATCAGCTCGAAAGTTAATGTCACATATCAAAACCGATGTCACTTTTCACTCTTATTCTTCCCTTTGCTCAAACGGCTCAGAAAAGCTGGCTGTGTGTGTACCTGTGTGTGTGTGTGCATGACCACACGCAGTTGCAACTTGGGCTCATTGCTGATAGCATTAATGGTACATATAATGGCAGTGTTTTTCACCAAGGGATTTGGAGAGTACATACCATTGCAGTGTCTCTAGAAGACAGAATAGGCTTTTATAAACCAACGGCTTTTCCCACCACCTCTTTTAAGCACTATAGTCAAGGGTGAATTTCATTTAGTCTCACTGATTTAAGAATATTCAAGTGATTTAGGCAATCAGCAGCCGCCTTCTTTTGGATTCTCCCTTACGAAGGCTCCCTAGCACCGTTAGCTAATGATTGTACTAAATATCCTGTTACTATTATCCTTTTCATTTAAGACTGGAATAAGCACCACAAAGCGTTTCAACCTCCTTACCATCTGCTATTTGCTCTCTATTCTCTCTTGTCTTCCCGTTGTTCCTTATACAGCTATGAAATATCTACTGCACCTACGGATGTTACTGGTTTTTATTAAAACAGCACAATGCCAAACTCAGCAGATAACAACCTCGGGTCCCTGGAGCTGCAGTTTGCCCCTGTAACCCTGGGAATGTCTTCTTGTTACTCGGCTACAGGTGCTGGCTGGACAAGTAGAAGTATTTCTTGGGTCTTTGCTGGGAATCACTCCCGACTGCACTACAACCTGCCTTACGTGCCAGGGTGAAGCAGAGAATATTAATGCCCCTTCTGGCCTAAAATTAGGAATGATCAACTCAAAACCATGGGAGACCATGCCTCAGCTCCTTGAAAATGGAAAACATTATGCAAAAATCTAATGAATTTATGGTTGTGCTAGGGAAGTTTCTGAACACCATCAAGACTGTTTTTTCAGGTGATGTGAACCTCAGCATAGCTCCTCTTGGATAAAGGAAGCTGTTTGTGTTTTGCACCAGCAGAAGATCTAGTCCATAAACTCCCTGCTGAGCAGTGATGCTGCCAGATACCTGCATGGTGCTGTGCACAGCTTGAGTGATTCTGCAGGCTCATCACACAAACAAAGGCTGTTTGGACAGCCACCGGGGACACAGAAGAGTAGCAACATTTGAGAGATGCTATCTGGCTGGCTTCAAGGCACTTAATTCACTGATACCAATTTGAGTGCTGAACTGATCTTTCAGGTCTCCAACAAGCCTGCAATCACAAGTGTATTTCATAAAAAACAGAAAGAAAAATCTTGGGAGATCGTATCTTTTCCTAATTACCTCAACATTTCAGAGGAGAGATCCAGCTCTGGATTCAGACACCTAAATAGGTACATACAAGCAAGTATTTATTTGTCAGCCAGACGTGTAAACTCATGTTATAATTAATAGAGGTTTAGTCAACACACTTAACACGGTCCCCAGAGCAATGTGAGCTGAGGGGATGCATCACACACCAGGGGAAGGAGAGAATATCAATGTCCCCTTCTGGCCTAAAACTGTGAGCCATCTGATCCAGGAAAAGTGAGCATGTTCCTCAGACCATGCCTAAGACCATACCACATTGAGATGTCTACAACCAGACGTCAACTTAAACTGGAGGGAGGGTGATTAATTGTCCCCTCTGATGGGAATTTCTGCATCCATTTGCCCTGGGCGCTGTGCTCGGAAGGTCACACTCACGCTAGAAGGAAGCCTAAACATTATCACTGGGTCAGTGTTGACTCAGAGGAATATGTAATCAACATGTACTTGAAGTTGACCCTTTCAAACCTTTCCCTAATCATCTGTTCATACATAAGTTACTCCCATCTTGTTATGTAGGGCAGAGCTTGAGCAAACTAGACTACAAAGCAGCTCAATGCAGGGGTTTTTTTGTTCCTGGCTGGTAGTTTGAGTGAAGACATTTACTTTGCTAAACTTTTTGTGACATTTCGTCTCCTACTAATTATATCGGTATTATGAACTCTTGCTTGCAAGTGAGCTTTGTTCTGGTATCTTTTAAGTCTCAGTTACAAAACCCTCTTCAGTATTACATTAAAAATAATCTTTTTATTCTCAAATCTCTAATCCAGTAAAATCCTCACAGGTATTCTCCAAAAGGACTCTCAGTGTGCTCCTGCATAGACTTGGGCTACAACAGTATACAGTTAGTTTTAAAAGGAAATATGTTTACTGCTACAGAGTCAATTTCTTTCTCATTAAATACTACACTCGAAAGCTCTGAAGATTCTTAACATTTTTGAAGTAATGCCCAGAGAGGTTAAAATAATGTTTCCCTTATGACTTATAACTCATCTGTCTTTCCAGTTTACTGTTCTTCTTACAA